TGCAGTGGATGGATGCTCCAGGTGCTCAGTGCCTCTCCAGCCCCGCTGGGATTTGGGGGCTGCCCCACGACCCCCCCATCCTCATTCCCACCTGGGAGCCAGGCTAATTTTAGGCTGGTGTTAATGAAGCTGCTGGGTGAGGTCTATTTTAAGGGCCCTGACATCAGCAGTTGCTGTTTTGGGAGGTGGAGAGCCCTGGAGCAATTGGTGTGACAGCTGGGGGGGCTCGGGGAAGGCTGCACGCTCCTGCTCAGCACCTGAGCCGCACTTTTGGGGTCACTGTGCCCTTTAGGACCTCGGTACTTTGGGGGGCAATGTGGGGATTTGGGGTGTGAGGATTTGAAGGGGCAATGTGGGGAGCTGGGGTGCAGTGCTGGGGATCCAGGGATGCAATATTGGGGTTTTTGGGGGTACAGTGCTGGGGATTTAAGGGTGCAGTTCTGGGGATCCAGGGATGCAATATTGCGGTTTTGGGGGTGCAGTGCTGGGGATTTAAGGGTGCAGTTCTGGGGATCCAGTGATGCGATATTGGGGTTCTGGGGGATGCAGTGCTGGGGATTTGGGGGTTTAATATTGGGGTTTTTGGGAGTGCAGTGCTGGGGATTTAAGGGTGCAGTTCTGGGGATCCAGGGATGCGATATTGGGGTTTTGGGGGGTGCAGTGCTGGGGATTTCGGGATGCAATATTGGGATATTATGGGGTGCACTGCTGAGGATTTAGAGATACAATATTGGGGTATTGGGGGGGTGCAGTACTGGCGATTTGGGGATGCAGTGCTGGGAATTTGGGGGTGCAGTTCTGTGCTGTTAAGGATACAATATTGGGGTTTTGGGAGGTGCAGTGCTGGGGATTTAGGGATGCAATATTGGGATATTGGGGGGTGCAGTTCTGTGCTATTAGGGATACAATATTGGGGTTTTGGGGGATGCAGTGCTGGGGATTTAAGGCTGCAATTCTGGGGATCCAGGGATCCAGTTCTGTGTTATTGGGGATTTGAGGGTGCAGTGCTGGATACCCAGGAATGAAATATTGTCCGTCCTGGAATGCAGCAGTGGAAATTTGAGTGTGCAGTGGCTGGGATTTGGGGTGCAGTGGTGGGGATTTAGGGGTGCAGTGGTGGGGAATTGAGTATGCAGTGGCTGGGATTTGGGGTGCAATATTGGGGCTTTAGGGGTGCAGTGGTGGGGATTTGAGCGTGCAGTACCTGGGATTTGGAGTGCAATAATGACAACAAGGGGTGCAACAGTGATGCTTTGAGTTTTGGCAGCACCATGCGAGTCAGGGGACTGCGCCTCTCCCCACCACCTACATCAGGATGCTGAAGTCCCCTAAAACACCTTGCAGAGCTCTGCTGAGTCCTCCTGCTCCATTATCCTGGGGTTCAGTGGGACTCTGGAATGCTGGGACGCACTTCCCCCCATTACCTGAACTCGGGGTGCGTTTTGGGGTGGGATGATGAATTAGTGGAAAGGTGTTGATGGTCCCATCTCCTGGGGGGAAACTGAGGCCCCCATCTCCACGTGCCTAACCCGCTGTCTCTGCTTGGCAGGCATGAGCCATGAGCCGAAGTCGCCGTCGCTAGGAATGCTCTCCACGGCCACCCGCACCACGGCCACCGTNTGCCTGGGAGCATCGCTGTCACCCCATCCTGTGACCACAGCCCACTCCTCAGCTGATCCCTGCTGGCACGTTGGAATCTCCCCCTGACCCAGACAGTGGGTTCAGCAGAGTTTGGGGTTTGGAGCCCCCCAGGCTGCCCAGATGGGTTTGAGGAATGGGAAATGTTCTGTGGAGCAGACACCAGGCTCCCTGTGCCCTGCTTAATGTGGAATTTGGATTTTTCTGCTTTTCTTGTTCTCCACCTTGACTCCGTTTCTGTTTTCCCTTTGGAAATATGGCCAGCATCCCTGGGGTGGGGGTAACTTAAAGTACAGATGTGTTATGCAAATGAAACCAAAGCCTTGCCCAGGGGTTTCAGGGAGCCACTGCTTCATCCCAGTGTCCCCAGAGGCCCTGGCCTGTCCCTGACAGCTCCTGCAGCTGGATTAGGAGTCTCTGAGTCTGCCTTGGGAACATGTGGCTGTCTGGGGCTGGCATCTCTGTCACTTGTGCCAAGGGGCTCTGTGGGACTGGAGGGTTTGGCAGTCCCTGTTAGGGGGGAGCAAGAGGCTGCCCCATCCCACCTTTGGCACCACTGGGAACTTCTGGGATGGAAGATGGGGAATCTCCTCCAGTTTGGGAGTCTGGCAGGACACTGAACACCCTGAGTGCATCCCAGTGCCTCAGCCCTGCTCCCTGCAGTGAGCAATGCAGCTCCATCCACTCAGCCTCTGGGTTCTCTCTTGGTGTCCCCAAGGGTCTTGGTGTCATTGCTTCTCACTTCTTTTTGCCCTTGTGGTCTTTGTGCCTCTTTCTCTCTCTCAGAGAGAGAGGGTCCACATCCAAGCCTCAGATTTTGGGGTCCACATCCAAGCCCAGTGTCTCATTTGAGCATCCTGAAAGCTGAAACATCCCCAA